ATGTGAAAATATTAGATTGATATGCATATATTTTTAGGATTTGTAATTAGTGATGTGGATTTGATTCTTTCCTAGTTTAGTGATCCTTTTATTTACTTTACCTGATTATAGGGTTCTCTTCTCTATAATCAATCTCTTCTCTATAATCATTTTTCAACTCAAATGGGTCTATTTTGAGAATCAATATCTCATTCACACATTATCCGTTTTGAACGTATAATATATTATAAATTTCGCGGGTTAAAGCCACAAAAAGACGGCCAGCAACGCGGGCCAGGCCCTAAACAAAATAAATAAATATATAACAGTAACATTTTAAAAAATATAATTTTGCTTTACATTTTTAAATACAAAAAAGTTAATATTATTTGTAGAGTTTACTTATTTTTTTGAACTTTGAATTCATATTAATTTTTAGTTGGATTGCAAATTCACAATGTTAATATTTGTAGATTTAATTTTACTTATTTTTGTGAACTTTGAATTCAAAAAATAAAAATAAAAAAAAATACAGGGCCCGCCAACCCGCGTGGGACGGGCTAGGGTTGGTGGGCCCTAGCCTGCGGGCTTGGTGGGTTGGTCCGCAAAACCCCACTATTTTGATTTTTGACAAATTTTACATGTGCATCCCTTGAAAAAATGATTTCCCAAAAAAATGGAAGTCATTTTCCCCCAAAACATACATTTTTTCCTTTGACTAAGGCATCATTTTCCATTGATCGACTTCATTTTTCCCATTTTTCCAAACACTAGAAACGCGGAAAACATTTTCCAGAAGTCATTATTTCTCGTGTTTCCAAGCGCACACTTAGAAGTGCAACCATTTACACTAAATAGTGCAAGTAATTTACCTTTCATATTGGTGCACTTTATAATAAAATTAGGTGCACATAATATTATTGTTGTTCGGTGTACATTATATTGTTGAACATTTACTTTTAATAAATTTTACTATCACTATTGTCGTTGCACTCTATGAAATTGTTACTAGCACTTTTAACACAATTTACTTGCAATTCAAAGTTTGAATATTTACAAAAATACTACAATGTTTTGTATAAATTGCTTGTTGATCCGTTAGATATTTTAAAATGGACGGCTATGATTTGTTCCTAGTTTTCTCATGCTTGTCCGTTCTCATTGATTTACAGCCGTTGATCTACGCTCATCCAACAGTCCAGATGTGTCGACACCACCGCACGAAAGGAGATTGCTGCATCTGATCTATTATATATACACACTGAGGCGGAGGGTGTGTGTGTGTGGGGGGGGGGGGGGAGGTGGGTTGTAAAAAGGTGCTGAGAATCTCTTAGTATATATGGCCAAAGCAAAAGACAAGGTGATACATGCACATGTGGACAAGGAGGCCATTGAAAGAGCTGAACTACCTGCGTAAATAGTTCCTTCCTGCAGGAAAAGTTTACCCTTCGCTTTATCCCACAATTTTAACTGTCTGCAATTGTCCATGTCAGCAGCATTCAGAATATTCAAATTCAAAACATCAGAAAAAGAAAAAAAAAAAAGTAAATATAGTAAGGCTGAAGGCCGCTTTGGTTATTCCTTTGTCAATAAAACCACCTCAGCTCAGCCTGTTTTCCTTCTTGCCCATTAAGCTTAGAGAGTTATAACCTTAAATAGGAAAATGAGTCAAATTTGTAACTTTGTGATTAATAAATTAACCGTTTGACCAACTTAATTGACCGGAGTTATTCCCTATAATTTTATTATAACTTTTGATATAATTGTAAGTGTTGTCCTAACACGTGATATATGCATGCATAAACACTTTTATTTAGATAATATGCTGTAATACATGAATATCATGTTACAGTATCACTATTCACTAACTGAGCATCCTCAATAGTTGTGCTTTTTGAAGAGTTTTTGCATGTGTGATTAGGAAAGAGAAAATGAGAGCGAAATTTTTTTTTTTTTAAAAGAATAAAGATTTAGCTGGGCGGGAGATTTACGCCTCACGCGAGGCAGCGTGGCTTTTATTTCTTTCTTGGTAGGACTTACATATCTGACAAAAATAAGCTCATTCAGCAAATATCCCAAAACTTCTCTCTTCTCACTCTCTCTCATTCACATAAACTTAGATCTCCTCAAAAATTGAGCAAACTCCACTGATGGAGATACTCTTTGATTATCTTATCATGTTACAATATCACTATTCATTAGCTAGGCCACGTCACTTGAAAATTACTATACAGTATATATGCATGTGTAGAAAAGTTAAAAATAATCACAACCCACATATAGGAGCAACCTAGTTAATGGTGCAGTCAGGAATTTGTCTTTTGCATTAGCATTATATATACTCCATATGCATATAGCATCCGTGACAACAACACCTTTGTCACAAAAATGAAGATGGATGGATAAAATATGATTTTCGTATCAGAAGATCACGAATTTAATACATGGTATTGATCTTTTTTAGTGTATTTTATATTTTTTTTTTGGTGTAGTTTATCAGTTATTATACAAAAGCGCGTTTTTTTGATTGAGCCTGTGGCACAAAGATCTTTCTAGTGTAATTTATCTTTAATTTCTTATATAGGTTGCCGGCTATGCAAGATTTACTCAATATATATACACCCTCAAACAGTGATGGCATATAATGATTGCATTGTGAATTTCTCGCGTAACCAACAAATAAATAAAAAAATCTCGCACACTCTTAGAAATGCATGGGTAATTTTATGCTTCCACAAATATATACCAACACAAATAAAGTCAAATTAATCTCTAAATCAGCAGAACTAGCAAACTAGCATATGATCGTGACTTTAATTGCGAGATAGAAACTAGAAAAAAAAAAAAAAATGTGTGCTGCTGAGTAATCATTTAAATCTACAACCTATATATTCATCTCTCTCAAAAAAAAGAAAAAAAATCAGTTTTCTTTATCAGCCATTTAGTAAAATAGCTGCAGTCACATATATATATAACTTAAACCCAAGACATCAGATTAAGATAAAATTAATATGTTGTCCCAAAATTTTAATTGCAAGAATTGATACCAAATCTATAAAAGTAAAGAATATCAAGTATCTCAAGATATCGGATTTGCTTCTCCCAAAATGTTGAGTCCCCAATTTCAAAGGGGACACACCCCGGCCCGACAAGCGTTCAGTAGGATGTAATCACAATGACTCAATGACTCAGTAGATCGAAATGGTCAAATGTCGATGCGCACAAGGGATCTGCCCACTTTAAGCATAATCCCCACATTGCTGCCTCCAAGGTTCGAACCTTGGTCTGTTCTCCCAAATACAGCCTATTGAACCATTGAGTTAAGCCCGTGTGGGCAAGATATCACATTTGCTAGTTACAGGGCGTTTGGTTAGAGAGGGGGAATTACGTGGGAAAGGAATTGCAATTCCATGGGGATGAATTACTGAGAATAAAGTGTGAATTTAAATTCCAGTGTTTGGTTTACAGGAATAGAATTATTGGGGATTTCAATTTCAATGTTTGGTATACATGGGAATTGAAAGGGAATAAGTAGTATAAAGTCCAAAATGTACATTTTTGTTGTGAGGCATTAATTTTAGGTTAAAAAAGGGAGGGGTAATTTTGACTCATCGCTATCTTTTTTTCTTCCTAAAATCTCAGGAGTACAGGGCGTTTGGTTGAAGGGAATTTAAATTCCATTCCCACTTAATTCTCACATAATTCCAAAGGCCATAAAATTCCCTTGTTTGGTTGAAAGGAATTGCAATTCAATGGAATTGCAATTCCCCCATTTTCATGGAATTAAAATCACATGTCCCCCTGGGATTTTAATTCCTGGGATTTTAGGAGAAAAAAAGATAGTGACGAGTCAAAATTATCCCTTCTTTTTTAACCTAAAATTAATGTCTAACAACAACAATGGACATTTTTTACTTTATACTACTTATTCCCTTTCAATTCCCATGTATACCAAACATTGGAATTGAAATTCCCAGTAATTTCATTTCTGTAAACCAAACACTGGAATTTAAATTCTCACTATATTTCCAGTAATTCATCTCCTATGGAATTGCAATTCTTTTCCCACGTAATTCCCCCTCTCCAACCAAACGCCCTGTTAGGGTTTAGTGTGTAATACAGATCAAGGGTGATAAACTACCTATTCTTCCAAGTAGTAAACTTAATATTGGGTTGTATTCCATTATTATCTCCCTCCCCCTACCCATGAAATATACTAAAATAAAATACTGAATCTAACTAGCTATATACTACATTCCATTCAGTCATCAATCATATACATGTGAATTACTCATTTCACCACGTACTACTTATCACATTTCATTTTTCTCTTTATCCGGTGATTCCGGTCAAATATCAAATGATATATAAAAGAATATGAATAAAAGATACATAAAGAATTCGTTGTTTACTTGATCATATCTCAGTTTTTCATTTCTTCAACTTCCCATTTCTCCAATTTTTTGGGATTGAAATATGGATATATTGTTCATGTCTTTCTCCATTTCTCCACATTTGGAGAATTAGTTAAATGGGGATTCTCCAAATTCTATAAATAAAAAAATAAAGAACAATTTCAATTTAAAAAAATGATTTTAGTAAATTTTCCATTTCTCTATTTTTTATTTTTTTTTGAAAAATGACTTATTTCTCCCGTCACTAAAGGGCAACACTCTAATTTTTTTTTTTCCCTTGGGAAACTTGGGAGAGTGCAAGATAGCTGGCAGTGGCACATGCACAGAATGTACTGTTTGAGCAATAATGTAATAAAAGCTTAATTCTAGCTTAGCTTCTTCATATTTTACATTTCAGTAAATTCAAGAATGAAGCTTAATGAGAATCAAGCATTTAGTTGTCCATAATAGCTTCAATAAAAGAAAATAAAAAACTAAAATTTTGGCACTGTAGGAGTGAGCCTATTTGGCTGCTGGCTAGTCACAGACTCACGTACTGTAGTGGTCCATTAATTTTTGAAAAAAAAAAAAAAAAAAAAAAAAAAAAACTATAGAGAAAAAAAGAAGTAGAAATGATGTTTTTCTACATGCAGTAAGAAATTAAAGTAATTAACATAATAGAGGAAAGGCTGCTTGCCTTGTGATATTGCCAATGTAGCTTTTTGTCATCATGTCTCCTCCAACATTCAGTCTGGGCTGCCCCCAATATAATTCTCCCCTCTTAATTTCCTCTGATCTGACAATTCACAAGATCTTGAAACTTCAATCCCAGGCCAGGCCGCTAGCTTCAAATCGTCAGAAAATTAATTTAATTTCTACCATGCAACATGAGATGAGATGAGAATTGAAGAACAATCTTAATTATCTGATGATCATCATCTATGTATCAAAACTACATCTATCCACTTTCTTGCTTGCTTTTTTTAAAGCTAGCTTTGTTTATTAATGGTTGCCGTACTGGTTCAAACCCACGGTTGAAGCAGAAGCGAAATTGGCTAACTCGTTCTGCTGCAAAAAGGGTCTGTTCTGATCATGGCTCCCACCCACGCCCAGGAAATCTCTGGTCAAACTCCCGTCAACTCCTTCGCTTCCGCCTAGACCGCTCACCTGTTTTCCCTTGTTTTGCATCATCAACAGCAATCCATTGTTATTGTTGTTGTTCATTTGATCGTTAACGGACAGTAATCCTGTCGAGGTTGATGAGTTTCCGTTTCCGAGGATGTTTTGGTGATGATGATGCTGGACTTTATTCCTCGCGTTATTATTGTAGTTGTCTAGCGTGGACAAGGTCGACCCCGTCAGCCCGAACCCGTTCCCGAACAGCGCCGAGTTCCCGCTCCTCGTCGACCCCATTTGCGCCGCCTTCTGCAGCAGCGCCGTTGCCGACATGTGCGCCGCCGGAGGCGGCGTCGCTTCCGCCTGGTTGTAGTACAACGAATTCATGGCTTCGGATATAATATTCCCTTTGTGCTCCTCCTCCTTCAGCACGGCCGTAGACGAGGACGCGCTGCCGCCGCCGCCGCTCCACATGAGGAGCTCTTGCGGCAAGGTGGCCGCCGTGGACGCCGCCGCCTGCGGAGGCACCAGGAACTCACCGTTCGCGTTGCTGAGATGATGATGGTCGGAATTGGCGGCGTCGAGCCAGAGGGGTAATCTTGGTTTTTGGCCGTCCAAAGTGAGTTGACTCGCCGGGTCAAACCCGCCCCCCATTAAGTCGTGATGCGGCGGCCGGAAGACGTGCGAACCGAACTGAGGGTGCTGGAGGGCCGACGTGGAGAGTCCGGCGTTTAGCAGTTCGTGTCGGAAGTTGAGATTGGGCGGCGGAAGTGAAGTGAACCTCGCGCTCTCTTCCGCTAATGCATCGCAGAATGCTCTGTGTGTGATAAAACTGTCCTTTCTGCACTTGCCATTATAATCAGTTGCATTAAAGTCACATACAAGTAATAAATACATATATATATCTAGCATTTAATTCTCTCCTAAATCATTTGCAATAAATTCAACCATCTATTCATATGTATATATACATATATAAATTCTTGCATCCTCGATCTCCATGTTCCAAGTTTTTTAAAAACTCTAAATTTCCAAAAAAGTTAAACCTTAAATTTCTGTCTACTTTTTTGAATAGTCAGAAAAAGTAGTGGACCGTACCAAAATGGTAAGATTACTAGGGTTTGGTTGGGATTAATCTCGGATTTTAGTGAGAAATTAAGGTTAGACTTATACGTAGGATTAGACTATAAGATGAATCTTTGGTTGATGATGATGAGAATTGAGAATTGAGAATTGAATTGAAGTAGTAGTATGTATATATGTATGTATATATATACCTGGAGAAGAGAGTTCCACAGTCACATTTATACTCTCTAGTTCCACAAATCTTGCTATGGGCTTTCCAATCAGACTGGACAGCATATTTCTTGGAACACTTATCACACTTCCACTTCTTCTCCCCATGCTTCCTGCTATAGTGTTTCTTGATCCCTGTGAGGTCTCCCAGAGCTCTGGAAGGGTCATGGTGGACACAGCTCTTCTCTGGGCATATGTACACCTTCTTCACCACTTCCTGCTTGCTTCTCTGCTTCAGCTTCCATGGCAGGTTGTGCCCTCTCCTGTGGAGTTGCAGGTTCTGGTCTCTCTGGAAACCCTTGTTGCAGATTTCACACACGAATCGGTTCGTCGCCATCAGGGACTTTGGTGACATGGCTATCACTTCTGCATCTGGATCTGTACGTATATATAAAAACACAACTTAATTCACTTGTTTAAGCTATATATATGTACTTGATGATGAGAAAAATAAGGGTTTTTAATTTGAGGCCAGGCTTGCCTGGATTTCCTGGGAGGTTTCTCTTTCTCTTGGCTGGATTTGGATTAGGGTTTGGATTGGGGTTGTTAGGGTTTGGATCTTGAATGAAGCCTCTAATGGAGGATGTGAGAGAAGAGAGGGCATCATCCGCCATCATTTTTACTTTTAATTTGCAGCCTAGCTAGCTAGCTTCAATTCTTCACAGAGATAGATATGAAACAACAACAAAAGATATATAGATTTGCTGAAAACAGCTAAATCCCACAAATATATTCTCACTTCAATCTAAACACAAACATGAAACCACAACAACAACAACAACATAAGGTAGAAGAATTAAGAAAGAGAATTTGGTTTCATATGCATGACTCCATCCAATCCAAACTCATTCTTCTAACATACACACATCTCTCTCTCTCTCTCTCTCTCTCTCTCTCTCTCTCTCTAGCTCTATACTTATTATCTCTCTTGTTTGAATCTTCACAGCAGCAAAAGAACAGAATACTACTAGCTACTTCCCTTGGCTACCATGGCAGCTGACAATATAATTAAGAAAGAAATGAAATGAAATTAAAGAAAGAAAAAGAGAATTGAATATATTATTGTCTCTCCTCAGCTTCTCTTTCTCTCTCTGAATATCTCTATCAATGTCCTTCTCTATTATATTAATATATCATATTCCTATTCTCACACGGCTTTTCTCTCTCAAGTCGGTCGCCATAAGACTCAAGTGGACCACTTCTTGCCCCCAGCGACCTGTGTATATGCACACACTAATATATTCTTCTTCTCTATATTATTCTAATTAATTATTATTTTCTACTTATTGCATGCTTAGTTTATACATTTTCTTGCTTATACTATATGCATAATTCAATTCTTTTGGTGCTTCTCAAATGCTACAAACCTAGTGAGAGAAGTTCAATTCAATTCTCATAGCCATCTAATCTATTAAGCTTATACATATACCTAAATTTTTAATTGAGACCGAACACATTCTTCGATTTGGTATATATCCACATGTTACTTGTGGCTTGTAATCAATCAGCCCAACAGGTCTACACACATAAGAGGGTGTGTTGAGCATCTTTGGTATATATAAATAATAAATGTAACGTCCAACTTAAATTTTTAAAGTTGAAGTAAATATATTCTTCAATTTAATCGGCACAAAAGTTACTTCCGTATAAATATGTTGTAGTTTCTCTATAAATATGTTTCATCACTTCTTTCGAAATAACTCTTTTATTGCATGAAGTGTAAATGATGAGGGTCTCGGTTAAAAACTTAAATTCTATCTCCTCAAATATTGTGAAAAAAAAATAAATAAAAAAGCTGCATAACTTTATAAGATTCAATAAAGCTCCTTTAATTTCTTTGTGTATCACTTTTGTATGGCATAGTAAAGTGAGGGAGGTTGAGCTTAAACTTGTCGCACTCTCACTCCATTATATATATGCATATATATATAAATATTATATCTATATAAATGTGCATGACAACCTAGCTTTATCATAGTACTCTCCCCATTACATGCAACAACGTAAATAAAAGCTAAAGGACACAGAATCAAATATTGTATCTCAAAAGGAATTTTGATATGTGTATGTATGGGGGAAGGGAAAAAGAGAAAGACTATCGCCTTTACAGCCATTACAAAGGGTTAAAATGATTATGCCATTATTGCCTATGGACCTCGATGCCCTACAAATGGTAAAACCCTAAATATACGTACAGTACATATATATATATATATATATATATATATATATATATATATATATATATTATAATAATAATATATATTTATGTATATATGTATATATGTATCTCTATCTATACGGTGCCGTCCCGTGAAGTCCTGTCTGTGGATTGGATTCAGTGAGAGGATTAGGTGGGTGAATTGGGGGCCACCACCTCCCAAGTTTTTCACATACATAAGTACGATTCATTTATTACATTTACACTATATTTACCTCTATTTTAGAAACCTTGTTAATTTTTATTGTTTTTTTTTTTTAAATTATGTGCTCATGATTCAAAAATTTAACAATGGACCACAACCTAGGATACCTCGTAACAAGGTGAATTGGGAGGTGTTTTTGTACAATCTCATATCGATTTTGTAAGAAAGCATAATGATATACTTAATTTTAAGAGGTTTTTTCACTTATCGATCGCATTAGTCTTTTAAGATAAGTTATTCATTTGGGTTTAGGTATCTAACAGGTCTTTTTTTTTTTTTTTTTTTTTTTTTTTGATCGGTTCTTGTAAGTAAAAATAAATGAGGCCCTACCAAAAGTATAAATACAATCTTTTAAAATCAAATCATAAGAGTCGGTAATTTATATCATACACCACGGCGCGCGTTGCATTATACGCCCAGATGCAAAACGACGTCGTTTCAATTTTTTTTTTTTTTTTTTTAAATTTTCCGCCCCAGTGTTTGGCAGCTAATTTTTTTTTAAAAAAAAAACCCATGTTCAAAAATGTACATAATGTTATACATGAATGTACATAATTGTATACATGAATGTACATAGTTATATAACAAAATATACATACTGTTTTTAAAAGATAATACACATAATCTAACATAATACATAATAAACATAAACTTTTAACCTAATACACATCAACTCTTAACATAATACACAAAAATTCCTGATTCGGATGTACATAATTGTATAAAAAAATATACATAATTGTATAAAAAATATACATAATTGTATGAACAAATATACATAATTGTATGAACAAATATACATAATCACAGCAACTTCCTACCACGCCTCCCAAAACGACGTCGTTTTGGGAGGCGCGCGGCACACAGTGCTACGTGCGCCGTGGTGTAGGGTATAACGATTGATAAGAGTCCTACTAACCTACTATCTCCAAAGTCCAAACAAATAGAAAAATTATAAAAAATAAAAAATAAAAAAATAAAAAGCATCTTGAAATTACCTGGCTAGTGACTACCTGGGCTACTGCTACTGTTTGAAATGCAAGTAGAACGATCTGTTAAGGGGAAGAATCAATTTCTTAAGCGGTATTGATGGTGAACTAGTAAATGGTACATGTTTCAAGTTATCTTTGCAGATTCAGGGCTTGAGACATCTCGGAGAAATAGAACAGTTGCCATGCGTCATGCTCAATTAATTAGGTCCTAATTATTAGGAGAGAGAAGTGATTTGGAAAAAAACTTATAGTTCCAAAATTAATTGTAGATTTTTTTATTTCTCTAAAAATTGAGGCCCTGTGCTCTTGGGCATTTTGCACACCCCAAAATCCGGCCCTAATATCTAATATTGGTACTTTCATTGAGAGGTGTGTAGCAAGAAATAGTTACCTAAAAGAGGGTTATCGGTACCAATAAAAGATTCAAAGAAAAAGTTATCCAGAATGTGAGTTTTTTGCCCGTTGGAACCCGCTAGAGCATAAATATGATTACAAAAAGATTACTTGATACTTGATTAGGTATAAAGAAAATCAAAAGGAGTCTAGAGTGAGAGTCATAGTGATACAATCTGACATCGACTCTCACTTATTGGACAAATCTTTTGAAGCGAACTTTAATTTTCACTTGGACCAATATATAATGAATTACAACATTTCTATACATACATAAACTAGATGTGTGTTTTATACAAGAAGGAACTAATTTGGGGGTTTTGACTTTTGATTATGTAAAAGGTAACTATTTACTAACATACTCCACGATAATCAAATAAACTAATTAAACATATTTTTTGTTGGAGAAAAACTAATTAAACTACATATAACATTAACTTTTACTTGTGAAATTTAAACTTTCGTTAGTAGTAAACGGGACATTAAAATATATAAGCTATTGGAAGCAAATCCGTATGGAAAATATCTGAACTGGAGAGTGAAGAATTTAAAAAGGGTACGGCGGGACGATCCCGAACGAATCAGTCTAACAGTTAACTTAATAATTACAAGATTTTATATTCAACTCTTAATGGAAACTGTTACTTAAAAAAAAAAAAAAAAAAAAAAAAAAAAATCTTAACGGAAACGGTGTATTAACATTTTTCATTTGAATCGGTAGACAATCTAGGCCGTTGTTACGATGTACCTCATTGTCCTCTTTTGTCCGTGAATTTCAACCAAAACGCATGTTCAGCGCAAATTATGCCCTGGAAACGTGTTCACCATTCATGGTAAATTCATAATCTCATAAAAGAAAATTCATAATTTCATAACTGCACAATCATAAATCCATGCATGCACATTCATAATTTATGAATGTTGAAGAAACTTGCGCAAAAAGGAAGTGAAATTGCGAAATGTGAAAATGGAAGAAGAAAATTCACGCAATTAATTAAGAAAAAGAAAAAAAAAAAAGATAACAATGCACTGTTATCGTTAGGACCGTGTTCACCATTGCATATTCAGATGACAAAACATGTAAAACGTTACAACAGTTAGTACTGAGTCCAACATTGCAATAACGATGAATTGAAATGAATTTTGTTGGTTTACGCTGACAATACGAAAACGAGGTGACTGTTACTGCTTCGTATGTCAACTAGTCCACGAGACGCATAACACTGACGACACATTCACATTTCTCTAGAAATTCGTTCTCTACCCCCACCCCTCCCCACACCCCGAAACCCCTCCCTGAAGGGCAGCAAAACAGTCAGCAGCACGTAGAATAGTGACAATTCCCTCATAGGCCCAACAACATAGAGGAGAGGATCTCTTACCAATTCTCCATTCCAATTTAAGTCTAAAGTATAAAATATCATTAAATTTCAAGGGTTTTTTTTGTATAATAAAGTATCAGTATGTGCTTTTTGTATGAGTACAATCATATATAATGTTTACTTGTATTAGGTAATATAAGAGAATACATCAGTGCTAAAAATCTTCGATTTTCTGACCACTTTTTTGATCACCCAGAAAAATGATTGAAAAAAGTAATATTTTTTTAATTTTTCGTCAAATGATTATGGTGGACGGAAATAGGTCGATGTGCATTTGATAGTATCCAAAATAACATAAATAGTAAGTTCAATATTGTCTTAGGGTTTGTTTGCATTTGAAACATGTTGTTGGCCATAAGTATAAGAAAATACAATTACATATTTACTATCAGTTATAACTCTCAATATAATAATAAATGTTCAGTACTGATAACATAATGTATACGAAAATATCAATGTAGTTAAGGGATTAAAAGTGAAATAAAATCTATGAAGGGAATATGTACAAAAGGTGGGGTGACTAAGAATCTTTTTTTCTTTATTTCTTTCTGTTTTGGGGATGAATTGGTCAGAAAAAAAGATTGGTCCCCTAGTGTTATAATCACACCAAGGTTGTCGTGAACGAACAATGTTGCAAACGTTACGGTT